TCTTAATGGTCTTTTCCAACTGAAATAATTCCATGATTCTATGAAAAGGAAGGGGCATCCACATTTGTCTCAAGTCACCAAGAAGTCTGCAGTTTGGTCTTGACTTCATCATTTTTAGACAAAAGTTTGGGATCACACATGAACATCTGCATTGCTGAAAATTATCTGCTCCAACACTAACAGAAGAAAAAACTGGAGAAGCTTTATATGCACAATATTTATTGCACTGAATCTGAAGATATATTTGATCCCTTGTACAGGTGTATCAAAGTATCTAAACTGTTTGGTCATTATGGCTATAAGGGAACAAGATTCTATCGAGATCCTGCAACTGGCTCTTACTGAAGACACGCATCTCCACAGAGAAAAAATAAGCCTGAGGAAAATTCACGCACACAAGTGAAATACTAGAGCATACAAAGAAAGCGACCACTCCCAATTCAAACCATAGGTATCAAATAATTTCCTACAGATCTCTCTACTTATTATGAATGAATGAGTTAAGAGTCCATAAAAAGATGACAACATGGTTTGAGTCTAAATCTCCTGATGGCAAAGAGAAAGTCTGGGTTACTGTTTCCTTCACCAGCAGATTTTACATTCCTGTTCTTTTCTTTCACCAGTGGTCTCTTTCACCCACCCAGTCAGTCATACTGAGCTACCAAACTCTGACCAGTAAGAAAGTCTCCCTCCTTTGAGGGAGATGGTCATACATGCATGCTGGTACCAAAGTTTTTAACCTGGTTTATAACTAAAGTTTAGCCACAGTATCTAATGGACTGCACCTTTCATTTCTGCCATAAATAAAGTGTGGTTAGTACAATAAAAAAATAAATCAAGATGGTTAGGAAAACTTTACACAAATGACTATTTCACTGGAACATAACTTAGAAGTTTTGCTAAATCATGCAGATTGTTTTAAAACTCCTCCCCATCTCACCACAACTTCTGAGGTGGACACAAGTTGTTGCATTTCAGTTCTGTGAACTTTCTCACACAGTGTATGCAGTTTTAACTTTTCAAATAGTACCTACAGTAAGAAAAAACATAAGAGAAATGTTTCAGCATTTCGAGTGCTGAAACAGAAAGGAAAAATATTTGGTGCCTGAACTTATGTCTAGAAAAAACACTTCAAGGAAAACTGAGCATCCTGTAGCAAAGAGAACTAACAGAGAATTGAAAAGATAATTTTTTTATTTCTGAGCTATTGAAAAAGTAGTGTATTTACTAAAATCAAATGCATAATTTATGTAAATACATTCAAATACAGATTATCCAACATTGCCAGATTTATGAAAAACTCCATTAAAATCAGAAAATAATATAATTAATATTGAAAAAAGAATTCTGAAGTTGTAAGGACAATTTTATATGCTTTATAATTCTTCTGTTAATAACAACTTACAGAACCGACAACATATGTAATAATAGTAGTATAAATATTACCTCTCTGAGCTGACTACTGCTGGTCAAAAGAAATCGTTCTCCAGCAACTTGATGAGCTTCCTGTTCAAGATCTTTGAGTCGCAACTATAAATTAGTACATCAGAATTATTCTGTTTACATTATTTTCTTCAATATCTGCTACTTTCTAGGTTAATGAGTACATTGGACTTCTATTTAAAAATAGAGTACTTGATTACAATGTGCAGTCATTACTGGCTATCAACATTTGGTTTACTAGATTGCTTATATACTGTTTAACCTGTATTTCTCCATGATTTGGGAAGGGGATTTACAGTATTAAAAGTACCAAAATTTGTAGGAAAATAGTTTACTGAAGACTATAGAGATCTGAGATAGAGCTATGCAAATTATTCTGGTAAATTAATAATCTGTCAGACCCCTGTGATCATCTAGTCAGATTTTATGCTACAAAATAGGATTCTCTTGTAGTTATTTTTATCAATGGGGAAATGGCAAACTTAGAACTCTCGGCACACGTAAGTTGTAAAGAGTGTCTTATTTACAAAGAGAGATAGAAATATCTATCCCTTCTCAGGAAGACAGTTACTGATAACTGTAAGTTCAGAAAGAGTCACTACAATTTTTACTCTACAACACATAACCCAAAAGGACCTGTGCCTTTTACAAAGCAATCTCAGTTCTGGGGCAAGGCTAATGAAGCAAATGTCTCTTTTTTGCTTACCTAAATAAATATGGAAGTATCTTAAATGTAAATATCATTAGTTATATTTATAATAATGAAAATACTCAAAAACCTCAAACAAAAGAAAAAGATTCCTCCTCTTTTTAATCAGTTATCATCGGTAAAAGCAGAAAGATTATGCTATACAATTTCCAAAAGAAAAAATAAAGACAAAATTTACCCCCAGAATCTCTGATGTTTTTTTCAGTTCTTGTTTGTTCACATGTATTTTGTGTGTTTCCATCACTGTAAACACAATTATATACTGAGAACACTTGCAATTGACAATTTCAATCTTACATGCTTCTTATACTGTAAAATGGAAACAAACTCACACAGCTGTTATGAGACTAAGACAATATTTAGTATTCTGAGGTAAGACTTTCTACCTGAGCATAATCAGCAGCTGTGTGAAACAAGTGAAGATTCATATTTTGAACTGAACTTTCATACCTGCCAGAATTTTGAGAAGCGGAAGCTCTAATGTGCAAAATAATTTCCACAAACCTTGAACCTGTAAAGCAAGGTACAAATAAATTCTTCAGTATCAACCAATTTTAATCTTAAAACATATAGTAGTGTCAATATGTGGACCTATTTTCCAGTAAGCAGTATTTCACTTTCTGTATCACCCCTTTTTACATGACAACACTGTTTGTGGAATGAAATACTACTTAGTGTGAATTATAGCATCTAAATACTGCAGTCCATTATCACTTCATTTTGTGGGGAATAGTAATACATTTTGTAATAGTAATAATTTTGTACAGGAATAGTAATAAAGAAATATACATGCATCATTTTTCTAAATGGTTTATTTTTAGAGCAAGCTCTATTATAATAGGACATAGGAGTTATCCCTTTTTCTTTATTCACTTGAGCAATTAAGCAACCATTCAAACTTGTTTTCATTAGGAAGAAAATAAAAGATGACAGGGGTATCTATTTAGTTACAAAGAAAAGGAAGTCTGTTTTTTCTCTACCAAATGAAGTAGACAGCTACACTTGTCTAAAAACCCCTGTAGACTGGCTCTCAGTGTTTCTGTGCCTTTGGTGTTGCCTTCCTTCACAGATTGTCTCATCATACTGCTGGGCCACTTAGATATCCAGATTAATATGGCTCTGTCAACTAAAGGTCTAAGCCCTACACGTGCTACCACCAATTTCAATGCAAACCCCATGGATCCTATGATGTACCTTCCACCAGAACCTGCGCATGTCCCTAAATTCTGACACTTTTCCAGATATACAATTACAGGGAGAAAACACACACACACACAAACTACTAAAAGATTTCTTGAGCTGCATTCTGAACTGCTAAATAAGGGCTAGAATAGACTGTTTCATTTGGAGGAGATCTACAATCATCATCTCCAACTGCCCAACCACTTCAGGGCTGACCAAAAGTTAAAGCATGTTGTTAACAGCATTATTCAAATGTCTCTTAAACACTGGCAGGGTTGGTGCAGCAACCACCTCTCTAGGAAGCCTCTCCCAGTGTTTAAGCAGTATTTGGCTAATACAACCTACAGCAATAGATACACTGAGAGTTTTTGTACCCAAGGAATGCATAACAAAAACCCCCCAAAGCAGCTACATTCTGTTTTAACTTTGTTAACACTTTTTAGGCTGTTTCATATAGCTTTAAAATACCAAAAGAAAAGTCACAAAATTCTGAACATTTCCCTTCTTAGAATGTTCATGTAAATATTTAGTTAACTCTTGCAAAGTTTCTTCTAAAGATTAACCTTCAGACTAACCATTTCCTCCTTCTGGAAACAATGGCAAATTTGATGGACAACTTTATTTTAAATGTTGACCAGCTCTGTAAATCAGTAAGAATTGAAGCATTCTATTTAACTCAAGTAGAGATTCTGGTTTGAATGTGAAGCACATCACTAACTCTCTTCAATTCATGATAATACCTCAGAAGTTTTATCTGAGTAATTACTTTTTATATCTTACCTGTAAGTCACGAGCAAGGTCCATCATTACATCATAAAGCTTCTCCAAGTTCACACCTAAGTTTTGATACTGATACAAATAAATTTAAAAAAAAATCAAGAATTTTAATGCTAACAAAAATATTTAGTATACTATTTTAAAAGGTATTAAACTATATAAATAGATTTTTCTGTATGTCTCCTGTTATATTTAACATTTTAGTAATACCACCTCTGACAGACACAATGAACAAAGCAGTACAGGTCATGAACATTCAAGATTTTACCTGTTCCTGTATTTACATTTTGCACAGACCAAGTATAAAGAAATAGTATCACTATCCTGCCTTTGACATTGAAGTCAGAATTCTATTACTACTTGTAAAATGAGGAAAAACTCCTTGCAATTTTCCTTCTCCTACCAGTACTGCCCCTCTTCTGTGTCCAAACTATTCACTTCCTTCCCTTCTGTTCCAGAGGTGTTCTGCACAGAGCTGTGTCACCTCATTCAGTTGGCCAGAAGACAGTTTTGAAATGCATACAAACACTAAGATTATGATCATTAGCTCCAAAAATAAATGTAATGTCAACCTATTAAATTTGTTATCAGGCTAATACACAAAATGTAAACACTGAAGTCCTGTTTTTCATTACTAAATTCCTGTAAGGAAAGATAGGAATGTAACAAATGCTGTAGATGTAGATTTTCTTTCCTGCAGTCTGTATCTTCAATGATGGCTGAACAATCAAAATTATGGAATAAATTTGCATCCAAGTCATTAAGTACAAAAGCACTGGCACTATCCTGTCAATTTTTTGGGCCACAAACCGTAGAACCTAGGACAGCATTCCAGAGGATGAAAGTTGCATACTTGCCTGTCAACATATTCTTCCCCAAGAATCACACACTGGTCTGTGTTGAAGGCAGGAAAATAAGTTACATGGAATTACATATGATATGTTATGATAATTCTTAGTTATGTAAAACAGTGAAATTAAGCTAAGGGTCACTTGTGTGACATTTATGCCAAAAAGAGGCATTTACTCTGTGTTTATAAATACTTCTGATGATATAGCATCATATAGTATTGGAGAAACTTGGCCACAATACTTTCAGACAGATATTAAATGTCAGATAGGCTAAAGAAGAGAATCAAAAATAATAATAAGTTTAGAAAACATGACCTACAGAAAAAGAGATGAATCAAGTTCTGCAGGATGCCTAAGCTTACTATTTTATGTTTGACAACATGAGCATAACATACATCACATGGAGGACTCAGCAGAGCAGAAATCAATTCTGCGGCCAGAAGAATCCTAACCACTTTAGAAGATAATTTGGTAACACCCTCTGTTTCCTCCTCAATAGCCACATTGCTGGAGACTGACCTAGATGTGGTTAGACTCTCAGTGAACAGGGTATTCCAAGATCATTTCTACTAAATTAATACACATAGGAAGGATTCAAAATAAATTTAAAATCTGCTTCCCAAGTGAACTACGTCTTTCTGCCAAGAATAGTAAAAAGTAAAAAAAAAAAATATATATATATATACACACACATAGAATAGGAAACCAAATGGCCATGAAATAACATGGAATCTCAATTGAAAAAGCAGTGAGATGGTTCCTTGGGCATCTTTTAAGCAATCCATCTTTAGGTTTAACATTCATCCTATGAGCATTTTAAAGGAATCCTAATTATTCTATGGTCCCTTTATTATTTGCATTCGTATCTTGGAGCTGATGGAACACTAAGAGGGGCTCTCATGCTATGAGCTGTGGAAGTCTCTTTCCTCTACAGACTTGCAGCTATCCTACAGCTTTACCTTACTGCTCTCATGAAATGCCAACAGTTGGGAGGGAAAAAATCTGCTCCAAAAGGAATATATTCTGCTTTCTCCACTCAAATTGAGCTAGAAAGCACTTACTCCTTACCAGAGTAAGCTCTCAGAAATTATGCTACCAAATCTCACTTTGCTGCCCATTTCACAGTTTCATGGTTTCTATTTGATATATTCAGAATCTTTCCTTTGGTCTTGCTGTGACAAGAAGGAAAGAAAAAGACATTTTTACTTGTTACCAGATTTACACTCTCCTCCAAGATAGCATAGAAAATAAAGGCAATGCTTCAGTTTGAATGAAATGTCTAGTATTTCATAAAGAACAAATACAAGATTCTATCATCTGGAAGAGTATATGCAATGTAAATAGATTACTAAAATGGATGTCATTAAGCTATGAATTATGGACTGGAACAGAAAGATTGCCATTGAAATTGTTGCCAAGAATATTTTCTGAACAGGTCTGATGTCAGAACACTATGGTTCTCCAGGGCTTTTAATCTGTCCAGCCAGAACAGAAGTTCTTTTGAAGCAAAAGCAGGTAAGAATAATCAAAGAGGTTGGGAAATCTTCAAAATCTTTCCTACTTGAGGGTCTATACATTCTAAACAGGCCTCCAAATTAAGGATTTTTCTAAAATAGGAGAAATTAAATTCATATAAAAAATAGTGGACATGGGAGGACCTTCTCTCTCCAGGGAGGTAAGGAAGATTCTGAGTTTGTGAGAAGGTATCTCTGAACAGGCAGGAATTACTCCCTGAGCGGGATGCCATTATCTCCTCCTTGTCATCAGGATGACTCTCAGAACCTTCTGGTTGTATTTCTGGGGAGTGAGACATCAGTACATCTAAACACTTGATCCTGTGCCCTCATAGTACAGGAGTCAGCTGTAAATCAACAGGTGAACATAATTCATCCTCCCAACAGCATATAAAAATCTGCCTTATACACAAAACTCACAATTTTGGCCTGTTTACAAAACAGCCCCATTATCTGAAGAAAAACAGAAGTCTGGAACCAAAACATTACAGCAGATGCAAACTGACAAGAACAATGCTTCATCCATTATTTGATCCAAGCAGAATGCAGAAGGAATCCAAATTACTTGTTGCTGCACAAACACAATAGAACCAGAACTGACTGGAAATTACTTTATATTAGGACAAATTATAACACATTATTGCTACAGAGGCAAACATTCTGGTACACAGCTTGGGAAGAACCATCACAGGAACTTCATCGTATTGGTCCAACTAATTTTTAAGAAAAGAGGAAAAGTGCCAAGCATACCAGAAGCGTCTGGAGACACCTATTAGTTACAGGAAGTTATGTTTCATGCTAAAACCAGAATCATCCCAGTTTTGGAGTAATCTTTGCTGCAGACACATTTTCCTACCACATACCCAAAAGCAACGGGGGCACTAGTGCTGCAGTCATTCAGAACGTGCTTAAGTCGGGACAATAGCTGTTTTTATCTTGAAATGGCCATATGAGTCAAGATAACAGCAGATAAAACTAAACAGATTCTACATAAGCTGATGTCTGTTAGTGGGAGGCATATCCCAGCAAAGCCTCAGCAGCAGAAAAGAGTTAAAATGGGGTAATGAATTCCACTGTCAGCCCATGCAGGTTCCCCATCTGCTCAAGGGCTATTAGTCTATCCAGCTTCAACTTTGTTTGTGCTGGTCATTTGTGAGTAGACACATGGACACCTACTGTACAGGCTTCCCCTTTGCCTACAGCAGGCTTGAACTTCGCAAGACTAGAAGGGGTCGGCCCTTGAAGGTAGGATGCAGAGCTCACTTCAAAGCTGAAATATCTAGATGCACTGGTGGTCCCTCTGGGAGTACAGACAACTGTTAGGAACCTCCCAGTAAAGTCAGAGTAAGAAAGTTGAAGAGAGAATTCTGGCAAAGAGCTAGGATTCACAGGAAGAACTGGGATTTACTGAGCATACAGAGAAGCCAAAAAGAAAGTGGGAGACTCCAGGGAACAAATTAATTGTATAAGGAATGGCAGGGAGGAATGATCACAGGATGTTAGAGGGAAGCATTAACTGAGACTTGGGTGAACAGGTCAGCATAAAGGCACTGGAGATGGTTGGGGCAAGGAAACAAACGAGACCTGAAGTAGGGCAGGAAGGAAATAAGACTTCAGTATTTAACTCAGAGCTGAGAATCAGGATGACAAAGTTGAGAAATGATAACTAAGAATAGATGTGATATATGAAGAACAAAAGACTGAGTCAAGCTAAGGAAAGAGACAAGATTAAGGATGCTGAATCACAGGAGGGGGCATCACATAGAAATAACCAAGAAGTTTACAGCTTCTGTCGGTTTGCCTGTCCATTCCCTACAATAATAAACTAATTACTGAATTGGTTCTTTCGGTTTGCCTGTCCATTCCCTTCACTAATAGCTTAATTCATGAAGTGGCTTCTGAACAACTGCAGTTTACATCTAGCATTTTAAAGTTAACTGGCTCTGGTTTTCTCAGAAATGTCCATACTGATGGGTACGTGTTGATACAACTGACCTCTGTCAATGCTCTAAACCCACTTGACATCTGTGGATTTGTATCCTAGAAGCCCCATAATCAAGTTACAATACTTGTGCCTGAACAAGCAAGGCCTCTGAGAAGTGAAAGGTTTCAAAAAACATCATTTAGGTTGCTGCACATCTATTTTTATCATCCAAACAATCTCTGAAGGCTGTGTCCAGAGTAGATCACCATGGCCCGAAATACAAATAACAAAGTCTTATAACATTCAGGAAATAAGTTTCAACAGACAGCAAGACATTTGTATAGTCCCAGGAATAACTTCTTAAGAAGTTAATCACATATTCTCTCTTATTGAGAATAAAAATTCACATATTTTTCATACACCTGCTTGAAGGTTCACATTTGACTCCCTACTGTTACTCAGCCTATGATGTGGTGTCTTTACCAGCTGTGAAATTCAGCAAAATTGTTAATAACAATTAACTAAATAGAGGCTACAAGTTCACAGGAAATAGAGAACATGGCATTAGACATTTTGGAAAGGAAAGCTGGAAATCAGTTTGCAGATAGGTGAAATTAAAAAACCCAACAGATTATATAGCAATTAATATTGCTACTGAACTTTAGGGTTTTGAAGAAGAATTTTACAGCTGTTCCTGAAGAATATGATCCCATCTTAGTAGAAAGCGGTGAACTCTTCCCTGCTCCCCTTTAAAATTAGATTTACAACAAGTAGTATTAATACAATTATTTTCTTCCATCAGAGAAGTATTATCTGTATTTTTTCAATATTTTGTAAGCAAAAGCAATTCTTTCATCATTTCCTTCCTTTTTTAAGCCAACCACAAACAATTTAAAACAAACTACTTACTGCTGCATTTCTCAAAGCACCTGTATCTGTATTTACTGTTCCCACAGAAAAAGGCTTTTCAAAATATTTCCGTATTAAACATTCAAAGGAGGGAACTGTGTCGCTGGGGTTTATCAGCCAGGCTGCAATCCTTGGATCTAACACGACGCGATCATCAACTACAAAAATAAGTTATTTCTGACAATCAAAACATTTAAATTACCTCCCATATCGAGAAATACTTCAAGAGTCTTACCCATCTTTCCTGTAGACACATATCATAAACAGACAAGAATTTACAATACAAAATGTTAAAGATTGAATTGGCAGCTGTAACACACAGTCAATACCATGACTACATAGGAGTAATTTCAATATTGAATATTTTTGAAAAGGGTTTTTTGTGGTTTTGTTTGGGGGGTTTTTTTGTTGAGTTTTTTTAAAGTTTTAAAATGTAAGTAAACCTTTGGTTCTTAAGACTGACTGCAAAAGCCTTTCTTATAAATGAAAAATTTCAAATTGAAGTTTTTCTTAGGGGTATCTCCCTCTGGTACAGTGTTGTTGCTGTTAATTTGATTGATAACCACACAATTGCTATTGGGGACTAGGGGAGAGAAGATTAGGGAGACCTAATTGCAGCCTTCCAGTACCTGAAGGGGACCTACAGGAAAGATGAGGAGGGACTGTTTATCAGGGAGTGTAGTGACAGGACAAGGGGGAATGGGTTTAAGCTAAAGGAGGGTAAATTTAAATTAGACGTTAGAAAGAAATTCTTCCCTGTGAGGGTGGTGAGGCACTGGAAGAGGTTGCCCAGAGAAGCTGTGGATGCCCCATCCCTGGAAGTGTTTAACACCAGGTTGGATGGGGCTTTGGGCAACCTGGTCTAGTGGAGGGTGTCCCTGCCCATGGCAGTGGGGTTGGAACTAGATGGTCTTTGAGGTCCCTTCCAACCCAAACTATTCTATGATTCTATGATCTACTTCCTATCAATCAGATTTCTGAGATCTTTAATGTATATATGAATTTACATACGGGTGTACAATGTATTGTTCTCAAAAATCAGAATCTTTTGTCCTATAGGATCTTATGTGCTTACGCTGCGCTTTCTCTCATGTTCATATAGATACATAGGATGAAGCAACTCTAGTGCTGTTTCATTCCCCTTTTAACCACAATCTCAACATATGTACTGTAGTACTACAAAGAAAGAGAGAAACTAGTAACTAGAATACTTTGAGATATAATTGAAGATAGTTACTTAGAGGTGACTGAAGAGGATACCTATATCTAAATGCAAACGACAACCCACAGGTACATTGGTAGATTAGAGAACTCCATACCACATAATCTTAGAGACTCAGTTACCTGGAAGCAAGCTTTAATGTCCATAATGCAAGTTACAGCTGCAGGACTAAAGAGAACCAGACTTGTTTACTGATAAAACTTGCTGGAAAAGAACTTCATGTGGCTGCTCAGTAGATGTTAGGGAAGGAGACATCTTGCCCCTGAATCAGCTTGAGCTCTGCTGGAATGGTCAGATAACCGAAGGACACTTCATCTGCATGGTCTCATACCAGATTTGATGTAGCTCACTATCCTTTTCTCTGAATGCAAACAGCTATTTGCCTCAGAAGCCAACAGATGCGAAGGAACAGCCTCAGAAATTGTCCCAAGGATACCCTTCTGACAGTACTACTAAGAAAGTCTTTCTGTGATTGAAAGGACAAGCTTCATGATTCCAAGGCTAAGACTAAGTATGCCAAACTCTGAATCCACTCCAAAACCAAACTTTGGATGTGTCCACAGGATTTCCACTGCTTTCAGTAGGAATTAATCCCTACAGGAATTAAATGAAACTTTGACAACTGTAACAGATTTGCCATGAACTCAAATGATACGTTGTGAGGAGGCAGACTACGCAACTCAGCCTCACTGATGGGCAGTAACACTTGGCAGCTGATGGCAGTTGGAAAGTGCCTAGAGGCTGCAGGAAAGCTTTGTCCAGTGAGATGCTGGACATTCACAAGCTCATGTGAAGACTGCATGAAATAAGCACATTTTTTTTAATAACAATACATCTTACCAAAGACACACGGAAGAAGAGACTCCTGTTCGCAAATAGTCTCCGAGATATCTCAAAGATCCTTTTCTCGTATCTCTATTTACAATGAGCACGAGACAGTCTCTACCTGAAGAATCAAACCACCCAACCATCAATCCCTTCCTTGCCAACTAAAATTTTCACCAAAGCTGAGCGTAGCAGTAATGACTTATAACCACTAGTTCAGTCCTGGGAAGAGGATGACACCTTCAAGATGAGGAGGCAGCACATGTGAACTGAGACAGAAAAAAGCTGAAAGGAGTGAAGCAAAACCAGGGTCAAGCTGGGGTAAAGTGAACAGAAGAGTCTGTGCAGATAAAAGCATACTTTCCTGAAAATTGTGAAACGGTACTCAAGTCCTGTCCTTCTACTCCAAAACATTAGTGAATCCCCATGGCAAAGCATGCCATATTTTATGAGTCAGGGCTAATGTATCTGTGTCTATTCCACTGTTTAAGAATGAGTGCAATCATTCAAGTCATTGCAATCAATATGACATACAGAGGAATTTCAGTGTTTGATTTACAAAGATGGCATTTTACCTTAAAAAAGGCAGGCTTTGTGTGTATGGTAAAAAATAACCATAGCAGAAATAAAGGGTGAGAAAGCATCAACTTCCAACGTTTAAAAAAAAACAACAAACCACAAAACACAAAAAACAACCAAAAAACCCCACAAGACAAGATACTAGATACTTGGATACTAGAAGCTTCAGATTCAAATCCTATGCATCAGATAAGATCGAACCTAGATCTAGTATTTCCTGTGTGTACAGGCTATAAAACTGTCACTAGTAGCCAGAACCACCAGGACATTTCTTCCTCCCTTTCCCAGAATTGTCTTTTGTGTAGATCTTCATACTAGATTCTAAATCATCAGTTTACTATGATTTACTTATGAAACTTTTCATATGGTGAACGCAAGATGTTGAAGACTCTCCATAGAGGGAGCCCTTCCTGAAATGTCACACTTATTTTTGTAATTCGGTCAGCAGTAACCTGATACATAGAACCAATTAAAAAAAAAATCATTATTTTTACATCTTAATATACCTTCAGTTTGTAGTTTCTTTTAAATCCATACAAAAGTGTCTTATTTGTTCCTATCAAAAAAACCACACGAACCCTTTCAAGTGATTACTAATTCTGATAACTATGACCACCTCTGGAATTTATTTTAGCTTCTCCTCTTGAGCAGAGAATGTTTCTCTAGGGAACATTTAATAGTGACCTTTTCAGCTATAGTCAGGACTGAGTTGAGAGCTTTTGTTTCTACTGGAAGTTATCCTTAAATTATTCAATTATTTGATTCCTACTCTGAGACGAAATACATCATCTTGACATACCAAGTCTCTGGCCACAACTTCCCCCAAGAAGGGTATTCTTTTCCATGGTTACTAAAATTCTGTTTTCCAATATATTACTTACCCACCAATCTAGTTACTTCTACACCTAAAATCTACAGCGATTTTAACAGAAACATCAAAAGCACAGAAATTATAGGATTAATTATAGATTAGATAGTTACCTTGTTTCCAGCTAATTTCATTACTATAAACTTGCAGTAGGGTCCTCAGGAAATCTTTTGCGTTGAAGCAAATAATTGGAACTTTGCTATGTAGCATTTGAAACAACACTTGCCTGCACAGAAGTAATTCATTAACACACACTATACTGCTCCTAGATTTAGTGAATCTATTTACTTTATACATTTAATTAGCACCTAATACTAAACAGTGAACACAAGACATTTCTTTATTCCTGTAACAACAGAATACTGTATTTGAATATTAAATTCTCAATTCAATAATACCTGAAGCTTCATTCTTTAATAAATTAAACATCCTGGCAGATATGCCTTATCATGCATTCATAAAGAAAACAAATCCTTATTTGATACTCAAAATTAAATGCAATCTTAATCCAAAAGAGCAACTGGCATCCCTGTAATACTTTAATATATCCAAATAAGATCATAGAGGCTTCTGAGTTAATGGCGTATTGTAAATTATTATTTAAAAGGTACTAGACAATCTAAATTGCCATAATTGCCTAGTGTTAATGCGCTATTGAAATCTAGTATGCTTCATCTTTGTCACATTGTTCCGTTCCTTTTGAAAACGTCCATAGTCCCCACATCCATGCTATTTTAAATAGATTTTAATAATTATATGTATTAGTATACACATTTTACTAATTGTGTCATTTTTTTTATAAGGTCTATTTTGGGCAATATAGAAAAATAATTTTTATAGAGCTTTCAAGTTTATCTTTGGTGGTATGAAGCCAAAGTACCAAGTCTTTGGACATAACAGAAATTGTGTAGATCATAAGGTATTATTGTATACAGTGTAGATCCACAATTAAACAACTGTACCATTCTTACAAGAAATAATTAGAAGAAACCTAAAGGTAATAGGCTTATTCAACTTATTGAATTTTTACTGTTCATATGTACGTGCTTTATTGATATGTTATCCTCAATTCAGAACAACCTATATTCAAACTAACAAGTTACTAAACTAATTGTCATATAACTCCACTATTACAGCTGGAGAAGTACAGGTAAGTGAAGTGATTTGTTTCAAGTCACAGTGGAGCAGCAGCAGAGATGCAACTAACAACCAAGTTCAACATCTTGAAAATGAATGCTTTACAATTTAATAACCCAAATTCAGTAGTTTACAATAAAGCAGTTATTACTTAAAGCTCTAAAATATTCTGAAGAAGTTTTAACATGCCACTATTATATCTAAGAATCAGATTCATTTCTCATTCCTCCCTTTATGGGATACTATTTCAAAGTTAATAATAAGGAATAAAAATGGATTTTGGGTATGCTAGTTGGAAGTTTAAAATATAATCCAACTTTTAAAAAAAATTAGTCCAACTATTAAGCATATACACAAAGCATTTATGTTAAAAATGATCTTGTAATTTTGATGTAACGTTACTACTGAATGTTAGGAAAACCTCATTTGGGATCTCAAAAGCCATTAAAAAAGCCTCTCATGCTCAGAAATTAAAAATATTAGCATATCACATAATCAGAAACATACTAGGTAAGAAATGCAGTTCAGGAAGTGGAAGATAAGATACAAGAAAGATAAACCTGGAAGAATCCTATTTTTTTTTTTGGTGCCATGTAGCTGTAAGCTATTCATAAAGGATTTCTAGGTGAATGTAAACAGCTCCTACCAGAATCCCAGCCTAGTTCTGCAGTGCTGCAGTTAGTGATATGCTGAGCCCAAAGGAATAGTCTATTTTTATTTGGTTTATATTAGCCCAGGCTTGACACAAAACTAATACAGCTAATATGAAATTCAATGAGCTTGACATGTAATGAGATTAAGCCTGTGCCATGTAATTAACATCACTGTCGCTAAAAGCATATGTAAAGCAAAATAGTATTTTTTTCCTACATACTCTCACCAAGCAAATTTCTTGTGAGCCTGTTGTTCTTCTTCCCAAAGATATGACCATTCAGTTTTTAAATAAATTAATTTATCATTTTCATTAGCAGCATTCCAAGTACAGTCTGTTGAAGAGTAACCGGGAGGGCAAGGGTGATCAGTTTGATTCTTCACTAACACGACAACTCCTTTTACTGATGAAGTTAAGGCCTGTTAAATATAATTACAATAGTCTTTCCTCTGACAGATTTTATGCAATCCTATAAAGAAAATTTCCCAAATATTTTACAATACGAAACCTATTATGTACACTAGAGTTTTTGCATACACCATTGACACTGTAGAGGAGCATGCAAGTTTCAGCCTTGAAACAAAAATCCACAGTGACAGTACAAAGCAGGAAGAAAAATATTCTAATTCGAACAGTCTCACTTTAAGTATACAAATGCCTGTTTAGCCCAAGCGGTTTCATTTTCTTTAAGTTTTACTTGGTAGGTAAAAATACAATGTAGTCAGAAGTATTAAGCTTTACATTTTACACTTATATTTTGGTAAGCAATAATACACAAAACTGGTCCGGATTCTAGGTTCCCAATGAACACAAGTTGTGTTTATCTGTCATATGCACAGTTCCAACGGTTCTACAAAACTGACTCTAAACAAAACACATCATTCACTAACCTGCTCTGAGCTGAGCTGTGAAGAACCATCTTGAAATATCATAGTAGTTACAAAAGCCACTGCCTGTTCTATAGTTGCAAGCAATTCTCTTTTTTCTTCACATCCCAAATTCCTGATATCACAGGGATAATTTTCAGAAGACTCTGTTTGTCCAGATGTACAGTTGTATCTTCCTTCCCATGAAGAAGTGCAGGTCTTTACAAGTAATCTCCTTTTCTCTGAACAAGATGTAGGTACATCCTGCTTTCTTTTAAAGGGAGTAGCTATATTCTTTTCACCATTGCTCAGGTTTTTTGCTTCTATTGAAAGATTTCTTTCTCTATATCCCCATGTTGGAAAGTCTAAATCCTGGTAATAGCTCACTATTTTGGTATCCTGACAGCAAAGCATTTCATCGGTATGTATTGTCCTGACTATCCAAGCAGCAGTACTTTTTTCAGGGCTGGCAGATGTTTTTAATAAGGCAATTGTGGAATCATGAATCTCCTGGGAAAATGGGAAATTTCTTAGTGAACCATTTATTCAACTTAATAAGAGAAATAAAAATAGATGTTAATTTAGATAAGCTTTTCAAGAAGTTATATTCTATGGAAAAAATATTGATACTAACAAAACAAAGTCAGTTTAGGGGAATCACATTACATAAAGCAACATTTGCAAGATTCCCCGAGGTAAACGCATGTTTAACTATTTACAGATATACAGGGCTCTATCTTCCCTCAATACTCCTCTTACACCTTGATCATCAACAGGTCTTACGGGCAAGCTTTCAACTCCTGAGGCATTTGAAAAAATGGTGTATTATTAGTGATGCATTTGACAGCTGTTTCTCAAAGTTTATTTGGACTATACTATTGTATATTTACATTTAACTTCTCAAATGAGGCAACTATAAAAGAATACAAATTCTAGTAAGTTTACTAAAAAATGTCAACATGCAAAAAGCTAGTCTCCTTCATATTGATGCTTAGTCATACTTCTTTTTCCTGGAAAGATTTTAGTATTCATTTTAAGTCTTCAATATTCTGTTTTGAATAAATCCCTGTAATACCGACAAATGTTTTGGTTTTGGAGGGGAAATTCCATATATCTTTCTTTTAAAAGCCCCCTCATTTTTATGTAATTTCCTTTTTTGAAGTGAAGCATTCCTGTAGTGTCTTACTATCTTTTAATGCCTCAGAAAGATTATAGCCCACCAGAGCATCTTTCAGGAGGGAGATTTTGAACCTGATCTCACACTGAATCTAATAAAAAACACTTTCTCTTGTGAGTTCTCTAACCGTTGATGTCTCCTAACTTTTAGTCTCAGCATCATGCATAAGTGTAATATTCACCCACTCCATTGAAAAGGAACTGAAGCCTCTCATAATTCCTACATTTTCTGCTCTAGTAGGACAGCCAGTCTCCTTCAGTACCTCTTCTGGCATTACCATTTCCAAAAACTAAGGCCTTCTGACTTTGAAAGAACCACAAGTTACTGCTGCGCAGGGCTCCCATCCACTCCCCAAGATGACAATTTTCACGGATCAAAGGATATTATCCATCTCTATTCAATCTGTATTGATTGAACAAGCCAGAATGACAAAGTCAGTATTTTTTTTTCCTGGTTTTGCAATATTCCTTAACCTAGTTGCCATATTCCCAAACCTCAAAACTACAGAGTCAAAAGATGAAAAAGGCTTAGACTGCTTGAGATTATACTTCACAGAATCAACTCTACAGCAAAAGTACAATTAACAGGTTCTAAGTAAATAGAGAAAGGGAGCCAATTAAGCTTTTGCTACTACCAAAATGAACAGTGGTTGTTCTGAATAAATTAATTGGACTTAGGCAATGCTAAATCAAAAAGCAAAACTATAAAAAGTTCCCTTTAGTGGAAAAAATAATATCACAGAAGGACCAAATATTTAAGAGCTGTAGAAAGACAACTAATTCACTCAAGCGTATTCTCCAGTCAAACTGCAAATTGTTTTATTGTTTAACACTGCAGAATTTGAATTAGGACACTCAAGTAATTATAGAATCAGGAATAAGCAATTTGCTTTTAAAGGTTCAAAAACAAGAACAAGGCAATTTAATTTTCAAGTCAGAATAATACAGCTGGAACTACAATTAACCACAGAGAGAAGCAGCAGCTTCCAGGAAAAGCTGATTTTCTATGAGAAATAATGACATGGCTGGAAGTAGAGAAAACAACTCCTGGGATGTAGATTCATAATTTATGTGGAGGTAGGAAAATTTCACTAGATGCATGGAATCAAAATTAGCACCTAATCATCACAAAAAGGGGTTCCACTACTACCCATGTGCGCCCACAGCTGCATGTTTATCTATGAGCCAATTTAATTTGCAGGAAACTATCCCACCTCACAAAAGAAACCAGTTTTCTGCATCGTGAACCTGAATGGACTTGCTGAAGCATGCAACGTGCACCAGAGTCAGAGTAAGGAAGGCTGTGAAATTTGCAGCTGGGACAGGAGTACACTTGCAGTATCTGCAACTCGCCAATTAACTCAATGGATATTACAATCACAGCTTGAGTTGGGGCTGCCCCAGTTCTCCATTCCCATTCTTGTACTGGCACTCACTCGCATGCACATTAAACCAAATTTAGAGAGATGATTAACCCAAAAGTTAAACTTCCTAATACAAAGTAATTTTTCATATGAATCAGCTCACTTTATGATTATGTGCTAGCGACCCTCAGTGACAGAGGTTTGAGAACATTTTTAAACCCAGTAACTATCTAATTGTGGCAACCTCATTTATTTCTGATCAATCTGTCACAACAGACTAACTTCTTACAAAAAGGGTAACAGAAGTAGGGCCAAGACTTATAGGTAAATAGATGCCAAGTGCAAAATAAGACAGAAGAAAGTTATCTTAACCAGGAGTGTACGCAATATATGGTAATAAAGCTTGTTACGAAAAAGCCAGCCTATAACAACTTCAAACCTGCTATAAAAAGACTGGTTTTAGTGGCCTTCAATCTTACAAAATGCTTGCCTTCTCATTTTTCAGATGTGCATCCTTATCACCTAGTTTATTTTCCTTTGTCTTCTCTATACCTTTAAAAAAAGAATGGGAAACATTTTACAATACAAATGAATCTGAGAGCCATGCATATAACTTACATTACATACAGTGTTACATTACCGACACTTTTACGTTACATAAAATAACTGCAATCAAATTTTCCATGACAACCCTTTTCCTCAAATTAATATTATTCATGCTTAAAAGGGCCCTGCAGGTTCCTAAATATGCATATTCAAAACTGTGCTTTGTCCCCATTAAGAAAAAATTAATTTGAATTTGCTACAAAGCAGACAAATATTTTCCACGGTATTCCAAAGAGGCATTACTATAATACCATAAACACGCTTATTTCCTTCTTTCAAAAAAACACATCCCATCTTGGTCAAAGTAAAGCTGGGGGTGCAGGCAAGAAGGAAGAAAAATAAATCAAAAAACCTCTATGTACTTCACAGTTTATCTGTTTTCTTGGAACTAGGCAATATTATTACACAATAATTTTCTGCAGTAAAACACTATTTGCATATACATCTTTAGCATATCATGCCCTACAGAGAACTGATCATGCTTCATTTGCAGAGGATAATTTTTTCACATCATTCATCCTCACAACAGAACAGGTATCGTAAGACCAGACAAGAACAGAGAGCAAGGAGAATTCAGACCTCTCCAACTGACAGAAGGGTAAGGTAATAACTAGCACGACAAGAAGCAGGATGGCTCTCAGTGCTGAGTCTAAGGTAGAGCCCTGTGCCACCGCACAGCTGTTAGCCTGGGCCCCCCACTGAACTACCAGAGATACTTAGCCTACAGATCTGAAAGCAGACAGATGCTGTAGTTTAAAGAAGGCTTTGTAAATGCACCTCAGGACTCTGCACCATGCTAAATCAAAGTTAGGGCATGCCTGCTCTTTTCTGCCCTCAACACTGCCCAGTAGCTCCAAGAAGAGAAGGGAAGACTGGAATAAAACAAGGGGCAACAGGCTAGCAATAATTACAAACTCAGTAGGTACAGGAAGAGGAACAGGGAAAAACAGAACTCCACTGAAGCACAGGTCTCTCCAGAATTTGCAATTAGTTAGGATTCCTTTATCCCTAGATTCTTTTACTGCCCAGCCAAAAGACATCTCATGGGCAAAAGATGTATTTTGTCCCCTTCTAACTCCTGGTCCCTACCAAGTACAACACTCCACTGCTGTTTTCAGCTATGAAATTTGCATTACCAGCAAGACACTTTCCGAATCTAATGTGCTGATGACCAATGTCAAACAAAGCATAAGGTGATCTATTTCTGACACTGTTCAAAAAAATTTTTTCTAGGCAAACCAGGACCCTGTACTTAAAATACTACAAAAAGCATTTTCAAAGACTAAGTCTCCAAAAGAAACTCAGCTTATTACTTTATAGTATTACATGCAGGTTCATGTTGGTGTATGTATATCATCAGTTATTTATCTCCAGCTCAGACTTCTTAGCTGAGCTGTTAGAATAGCAAATATGGCATAATTGTAATTGCAGTTTCAAACATTTCAGGTTTGGTTGTCTTGACACTTCCCACAACAATAAAATTATAATTTAAGAATGATAGTAACCAAGTTTACACTCAGTGTTTTTAATCGTTTAAAAGCTAGATACCTTTTCTTGACAAATTCACCCTCCAGAGAAGATGATTAGGATTGCATTTCTCTCCTTCAGCACACGGTATTCAGTATGACAGGTATCTAAAGATCTATGCAACCTCAAATTTCTGGTTTATGAAAAAGTATCACCAGATGGCAGTAGACACCCACCCTTGCCTTCAAACTCCTTCTTAAGGCTAGATGGAACAAGCTCTACTGCCAAGATAACCACAGAATTTCACCCCCTAGTTCAACACCAGAAATATTTGTCCTATTTGAACCCAGTACTTACCTTCTAAAGGCAGTTTGTCCACTAAGTGGAATTTAATCTTTAAAGATCTATCAATAGAATACAGTTCAATACAGTTTGAAACAAACCAATATGACAAGTTTTGCGTTTGGTTTTTGGTTTTGTTTTTTTTTTTTTTTTAAGGGAGGTAAACTTGCTCTCTCCAGATCCATTCTGATCAGCTAAAGCTATATATACAGGCAATTTCCTAAAAGCAATTCAAATAAATTTGTTCTTTAGCCTGTACACTAGAAACAGTAATTACTACATGGAAAACAAGAGCAAGAAAAGCTAGTCATGTGACCTGCTGCCACTAAATGCTTATACTGTTCTTTCACTCCCCAGTGAGTAAGGATTTAGCAGCACTACAAAGACAACAGCAAGCTTATTTGGCTAAAGATACCAGACACCTTCATGGGGTTTTTAAAAAAACAGAGAATCTGTAATTTTACAGCTTGACAAAGAGTGAATGGATCAAGAGTGGACAACATAACACAACATACATATCACACAGTACAGAGTTCTGCAGTCTGAGACAAAATATTACACAGGAAAATTAAGGAAGGGAAGAGACTGGCAGACTATGAAATGCACTGAATTGAGAATAAAAATTCCATCTTGCAAAACCTCCCTAGTATCCACAACATTCTGAGTAAGATTTGCTCAACAGCCTACGATCTGCTGAGGCACTTTTAACATCACCTAATTTGTTCTACCAGTGGGACTTTTGTCTCTCTTCCCCATAGAATCTCACAAGGTGCGAGTTGCTAATAAACATGTGTTTAAAGGAGAGGTATGAGTTTGGAGAGCTCACAGGCCTTCTGGCAACTTCCTAGTACCTCTAGTGATCTTTAATATGTAGTCCAGAATCAAGTTAACATATACATTTAATTTACAGTATTAGTTAATTAACAGTTTGAAATTTTCTTCTACTTCTATATCACATAGCAGGAACAGGAAGAAAAAAAAACCACAATGAAATTGAGTGTGCTGCTAATACTCTAGTTCCTTGCACTCACATAGCATTATTTAATCAGAAAAGTCCCAGGAAATGTCAGTTATGGCTTAATTTCTTCTCTAAAACTGGAAACCTACACTCACCTTTTTTTCTTTTTTAAATAGGGACTAGAAGTTTAATATTGGTTTGTTTGGGTTTCAGTTTTTCAACTGAAAATAGAAACACTTAAATAGGCTAAGATTTACTCACTCTGGTTATTCTTTGTGCTAGTCTGAACTTCTCCTACAGGAACAGACTGCAAAGCTGTCATAATCCTCTGAGCGATATCAGATAACGGCACTTTAGAAGTCTCACATCCTATGTATGAAGCATACCGTTCCATTTTTTAAATTAAACCTAAACACAGAACACACATAAATTACGTGTGATATCAGGGCTGCAGAACAATCTGCACTTACATTCTGTTGAAACTGAAGACAAAATATAGTGAACGTGTTCAACCATTTACTCGACAGAAAAATTACATTTCCTCTCTGACACACGTATCAGTTTCTAAGTATTTTAAATAAAAATTAGCAAATTATTATAATTTACAAACACAACTAAATAAAACTTTGAAACAGTGTTTTAATACACCAATAAAAAAAATCAAGCAGCCCGATTAAGTAAAGCTAACTTCTAAATAAAAAAAAAACAAAAATCTGGCAAATAAAACAAGAATTATCATTTATGTCTGAAATACTTCCTCTCTCCTCAACATCTTTAAACTAGTTTATATTTGGTGTATGCATATATTTATTATTATTGGTGTTCAGATTTTATCAAGAAAAAAAAAATATTTTCAAGTAACTGCCAAAATAGAGCCAACACAAGATGAAAAAAACCAAGTATTACTATCATGATACACAAACATTAGTGATGTGCTGTTTCAGAAAATACTTGTCATAAAAGACCTCTACTCCTTAAACTTTGTATAACTGCGGTATTCAAGTACTATTAAATACTAATAACACTAAAATAGTTACTATAGTTTGTCAATTTAAGAAACAGGTCAGCAACATCTAAAGTCTCTACAAGCTTCGACTTCAGCTATTGCTGTTCTAAATTTTATCCTTTTTTGAAAAGCAATTGCTTTTCCCGTTAGCCTGTAGCCATATTCTATAACATATACAAAATATTTGGAAAGCCCCTAGATACAACACATATTGGAGAAACAGAAACAATGGTGTCCATACTAGTGACTTTCTTGACTTCATATAGTTAGACCAGAACAATGCAGAAAACTTACCATAAACACAAGATAAATACCCAACATTTTCAAAATATTTAAAGGATTCAACCTGTACAAGTCAACTGCTCTACCAAAAACTGCTGTTAAGTAAATTAATTCCTAGACAAGTTAATAACTGGAGTCCTGTTACTCTGGTCTTCTCCCACTAAATCCAGTGCATGAGTACACTTTCAAGTCAAGTTTAAGCATCAAGTAAACACATTTCCTCTGCTTACATGGAAATATTTTCTTAGCTCAAGACCACAGGCGGATTGCAGGTTTGAATAATTACAAGTACAAACATTTGTATCCAGATTCAAAGAGGAACATCCATCAGGCTGCGTTAGTATTGGCTGTATCTATCTACCTTGAATTTTATTGTAAGCATGTGAATGGGTGAGAAAGGCAGAATGGCTTTCTTTTCCCTGACATTCCAGAAGTCACCCTTCCCCATGCACAACTCCTCCTAATTTTTATAATGAAGAGCAACACTTCTTTCCTACACAAGGTAAAAACTGTTCCTGAGTTCTCAGGGTGGGAAGCAGTAGTCCTTAAAGCCTCAGGGGCATATCAAAATGAGAACCTAGCAGACTAAACAAGACAGTACACATGAGAATATGCCTAAAACCAACACACAGATTCACCATAAATATCGACAACACTGAACTGAATTTGTAGTGTTTGGCATTTAATAATAAACACAATATATAGAGTTAAGCAGCATGAAATCCAGATATAAAGACATCCAACCAGTAAGGTAAAAAGAAATTTAAACATTTAAAAATAAGTTATACTCACATACAAGTCTGTCATCAAAACTGTTTTAAGACTACTGTTACTGAAGTTAAAGCTAATTTACTAACCTTCATCAATATGTAAAGCACAGTTGATCCCATCAAAATACACAAGACTGGAAGTTATCATACTATAAAAGCCTATCTAGTTCCACTGGTATATTAGGAAGCTATATAAAAATTTGATAACAGTCTACCAATGCACATGAAAGCAGAAGTATGAAAGCATCAGGATTCTGAATTGAAATGCCTATCATAATAAATCACAGAGCAAATTCAGGAGTCTAAAAGGTAAATTTAAAATTATTTTTCTTTCAAGAGCCCAGTATGAGTATGGACTGGTTTCAATGGAGAAGACAGGCCATAAGTTAAATTCCAAGATATCCGAAAGGTCTTAAAACAGGTAGTCTTGAAAAGTACTTGAAAAAGTTTCAGGTACATAACCCAACACATTTCTAACAAAACTTAATTTTCTTAGGAGAACTGTAAGGAAAAAAATCACAGAACATCTGCCTTGGAGAACTCTCCTCTTCAGAAGCAGCACATTACATTCATGTTCCAAAATCTGGAATGCCTTCTCTGCATTTATGTTTCAGTTCACATATCAAAGGTTCTTAGCATGCAAGAAAACTTATCCCAAGGGTATAAAATGTTCCTTTTTGTGCTATACTGTAGAAATTAACACACAGGCTAGCAGCAGAGCAGCCTGAATGTAATTAATTCAAATAACCAATGTATTACTTCATATCAAAGAACTTTAACAAAACTGAGATTTGAACTTGGTGGGCAGATGCCAAAAGTCATAAAGCAGCATACAATCCAAACTTGATAACTGTGGCAGTTAAACATACATTGCAATGATAGATAAATGTGAGCCTTGATAAGCTAGTACTTATTATTCCATAAACTTGTGGGCAGTTCACATTAACATGTTTTCCCTTCTTAAGAGTACAGTGAAGTTTAAACATTAAGAACTTCAGTGCTGGTGAAATTCTAATCTTCCAGACCACCGGCTTTAGCCTTAGACTGCTGCTCAAGCTTCTCCACCATCTCTTTCAAGCGGTCTTCGTCTTTGAAAAAATACACATACAAGTTTCTTTCCATCTGATGCAGCTTATTCGACTCTAAAAAGTTTCTCTTTGACTTCACATCAGCAATCAGATCCATAAGGAGTTGATTTAATTTATTTAAATCAACTTCCAGTTGATGAAACTGCTCAGTAAGTTCCTAACAAAAAATACAAGACAAAAAATTATTACTTATATTTCTAGTTCAGCTAGTGTATTAAAAATATAGAAAAGTTTTTTGCTTTTGGAAGCCACTTTTGTTTGTAAGTGAAAAGATATCACAAAAACCAGAAACACAGGTGATAAGGTATTCCATTCTATTTATGTAACTTTTGAGCTCCATGTAACAGTACTCACATCAGGTTATGAAAATGTAATTTCGTTTACTTGTTTACTAAACCAGACGAGTTAAAACCATAAGAATCAGGTCCTCAACTAGACAGATGGTTAAATGACATTTTCAATCAATTACAAGTCTTCATAGCTAGTCAAATCTTAAAAGGGAACAAAAAAAACACAAAAGAAAAAAGCCAATTTGATTTTAAAATTAAATCATTAATTACCAGCTACAATTTTCCCAACTGTCATTTTTATGATAGTTCAGTGTAAGTAGGCTAGCCATCTACTTGCACATTATTTCCTTTTTAAAGGAATTACTTTTCTTGATAAACAGCAGCAATAGGAAGAGATGCCAGTATGTTTTAAGAGGTAGCTTCAATCAATAAAAAGGTATTTGATTGATTTAATAACATGTAATCCTTAAATACGTATTGTTGCAATTACAAAGTTTCATTTATTAAATAAAAACTGTTCTATGCATTGCAAATTCACTTGACAGAATTATTAAATATATTTTTATGTATTTAAGCAAAGAAGCATTATGTAAGAGAAGACTTTCCTCAATCCACTTTGAGATATCTACAGTTATTTAAAAAACTCTAACAAGTTGCATTTAACAACCCCTATTCCCATTTAAAAGAAGCTCTAAACCCAACACCTGGGACCTCTGTAGCAGGATTGTCCTACTACCACTGTCCTTCAAAATTCTGATATTCTTATTTTGTCCAAATAAGCCACCTATGGCCAGGCTTTTTAAGGGGCTAAACTGTACTATTTGGGTGTTACAGGGGGGAAAAAAGCCCATCTGAAATAGAGAAATTTAAACAAATTTTCCAGTGACACCATATCCAGATAACACATTTCCCACACCATAAACTTACTAGTAATACATGACTGTGTATGCCTTCGAAAGAAATTAAAAGTTAGACGCAATGATTTTCTCAGAAACAAAAAATTATTACCTGCCAACATTTACAAAATCTAACATTTGCTAAGAACAATGTAAATACTGAGCCCATCATCATTATGGTAATAAATTAGTGGCTGACACATGGGAGCCAGTTTGTGTTTCTACAGCCTTCATACTACATTTTTCTCAGTAAAAGAACATGATGCACATTTATGTAATAATTTTAGTAACTAAATAAGGGCTTACCCAACTACTGAGTTGTATCTCATTTCCTCCACGATACAGAGCATCATGAAGGGTATCTACATCACTTTTTAGCTTGGACAAAAGGAGAGACTGTTCTTGAGAAGATGCTGCTAGCTGATCTTGTACTGTAGCACAGTCCTGCTTTAACTTCTGAGCCATCTTCTCCAAGTTTTTGTATGTTTTAAACAATTGCTGTTTATTTTCTCCTTCCAGAAGCTGATATAGCCTGTAACAAACAAAGTGAGACACACAAGCATTTTTAAGTTTCCTAAGCACCACTGTCATTATTAGTGAAAAGAACATGTTCACGTTGAGAAGTCAGAGGACTAGTAAAGGACAGTACTGCTCCGGGTACTCTTACTACACTGCTGTATCTCCCACTGATTTCATGATTCTATCTATATACAGCTAGTACATGATTAATAGAACTCCAAAAAATTTCAATATTAAATTAACAGCATTGAAATACCAACGTAACAGTTAAAAAAGTACACAATGAATGCAAACAGAAGTTGACAGTGTGCTTTTGCCAATTATTTCCCGACACTTCAAGGACAGCAAAGATCCAATTGTTTTAGAGTGGGGAAAAACAGCAGACTTCAATGGCCAATGAGAAATAAGGGAAATCTTTATAATGTTTTCAAGCTCACTGGAGTATTTCCAATTTTCTATCTATGAAGAGACTGCTAAGAAATTCTTCAATTAGTTACGAGTCATGAAAAACACAGCAATACCTGCTGTACCAAACTGTACCCTTATGCTGCATCAGGAAGAGTCTAATACGATTACAGATAACTTTGCTCGGCTGTTACTACCACCTCTGTGTATTAAAATCTTCAGGAGTTGAGCCCCAATATAGAATCAGATTGGTTTTAATAAGAGCAGGAGCTATATTTCAAAAGTAACTGAGTTCTTTCGAGTGTCTTCTGCTTACAAACCCTTTAGGGTTTTTAACTTTTTCAACTTCCCTTCACAATCATGAATAACAACACATGCCCTTTTTTAAATGAAAAAAAAATGAGAGTGAAAATGTAGCCAGACAACATTCCGATGCAGTGATTTGGAGACTTAATAATAAACCTGAACAAAAATGTTACAAGTTGCCAATGCAAATGCGAGCAAAATTAATGCTGCCTAATTCTTGCAGTTATTGAATGTGCAAGACCATACTCAACTATCACTTAATTATTAAAAAACACTTAAAGCACCATTTTAAAGAAGCAGGAAAAGTCTCACATTGTCACCTATAATTATACAATACACGTCATCAAAATGTTTACAGTCTTGAAGCAACAGCAACACAGCACACATTCCTAATGTATCACCTGAGCTACAAGGAGACTGAATGGTGATGGCAAGTAAAGCAGTAAAAATGAGCTAAAAAATGAGCTAAACACATTTCACATAAATATGTTCACGGAGCTGTTCCTCTCCTCTACCACACGGGGGTTTTTGCAGGCTAAGCTGATGAGGCCGTGAACACGATCTAGGAAATCGTTATTAAACAGCTCTCTACATCTCTACTTCTAGAACACCTTTAGACTGAATTACTTAGATGGTGAAAAAGCAGGCTCCTACATGGGTGACAGGACACTGAAGCCAGATGGCAAGTAAAGCAGTAAAAATGAGCTAAACACATTTCACATAAATATGTTCACGGAGCTGTTCCTCTCCTCTACCACACGGGGGTTTTTGCAGGCTAAGCTGATGAGGCCGTGAACACGATCTAGGAAATCGTTATTAACAGCTCTCTACATCTCTACTTCTAGAACACCTTTCAAGAGGTCCTAGATCAGGGCACCATATGAGACAGGCTTGGCTTTAACATTCATTATATTCTGGATATTGCTTGGGAATGCTTCAGCAATATTAACAAGACTGACAATTGACCAGTTTTTCCTCAGGCAAGCCTGAACATAATTTGAAAGGATAAGCAAGAGGCAAATCTCATACCTTGAAAGCTTTGGTTCTGGAGAATTCAAAATGCTCATTAGCTATAGCAAGCTAGGAACTTAGCAATAGGAAAGGCTTAGCTTGCCTAAGCCTTTATCTCCTCAATGTTATTTCAAACTAAAGTCAAAAGTTCAACAGTGACTGTAATGCTTACCTGCAAGAGAAACCATCCTTTGAACTAATAGTGTTTCTTGGCTTGGCATGTTGAGTTTGCTCAGATATCACCCGTAGTCTCTCTTGCAACTCATTACTGCTCTGTTTCAGAGATTCTACTAAATTCTCAAGTTGACAGCAGACCTCCTTGTGTTTCTTCAATTCCATTTCATAGGCTAGCTCAATAAGTTCAAATGATGCTTTCTGTCTTACCAAATGCCTACATATTTCATCTTGTCTTGAAGCACGATAGTCCTGTTGAGCAATCTGACAATCCAAGTATACTTTCACCACTGGTGCACTCAAATGGCATGCATTCTCCTTCAGAAGGGGAAGCAGCTCTTTGTTTATCTGAATTATTTCTTGTCTAATTGTTGAAATTTCATCATTTAAACGAGATATCTTGGCAACAAGGTTTTCCTGTTTTCCAATACCCTGCATAAAGCAAAATACTTGTCAATTTCTTCATAGTTCCCTTCAAGCCACTTCCCTAATACATTTCTTCAGTTCAAACAAGATGTACTTATGTTACATTAAAATAACTACATCTTTTGTATTTACAAAATTAAATTAAAACTCCACAAGCAGTTTTACAGAATTTTACAAGACAAATCAAATACAGATTTAAAAAGTAGATATTGAATAAATGTATTTTGATAAATAGTCATTTCATTCCATTGCAGGGCCAGTTTATTGTGAAAAAAAAAAAATAGAAGAGCTATAATTTTACTTAGCACCCAGATTTCAAGCATGTCTAACTGAAATTTCACATGCAAACAGTTTTTTATATTCAGTCAGATGACCATCAACACTGCTATCAGAATCAATATTTTTCAAATTACTCTAATCAATCAAGTCCTATATGCTAGTGATCCATAAATGTAAATATACAAACTGACATGATGCCTCAAGTTAGTCCGTGACTGGCGTAAGCTAGTATTTTTCCTTCTGTTAGGATTTATTCACATTCTTAAATTCCAGTAGTCATATCTGCCTGTCACTCACTTGTTGAGAGATTTCTGGGGCTTCAACTATCCAATCCATTTCTTTGGTATTTAAAACACGTCATCATAATACCACCATATTACAAATACTTGAGTTTCAAAAGTGTCAGCAAACTAAAACTCTTCAAGTTTATGCTATGGAATATAAACAGGAATACATTTATCATATTAGCTCCTCGATACCACAAAATTATAACCAAAGTTAAGCTTTTGTTTCTTGTGCAAACAACTGAGAGCCAGTTATAATTTGAAATTTTAAAGTTAAACTAAACTGGAAAGGTACTACTAAATTCTAGGGGGTTTAAGGTAATAACTCTGGAAAGTAGAATTAAAGATACTCTGCCATACCAAAGAATTTCTAAATATAGAAACTGGAACTATTGCACAAAAGGAGTTTTGTGAGCAAGACGAGAACTTCCTAAAAGTGCAATTTTACTATGTAAAAATAGCTGAAATAGCAAAACCTCAGCAATTCCTTTCATTAGATTCAGTTGAAAACACCTGCCTGTTTAAAACTCCCCTACTTTCTATCACCTTTTGCAGCTTACCGTGTTCAACGACTGCAGGATGCTCTCTGCACATTTTATAGCTGAATTCATGATCTCATCTTTAACTTGCATCTGAATTAGCTGATGTTGAGCACAAATATACGCTGTGTGGAGCCTGGCCAACTCTTGACTCTCTTCACAAACTTCATTAGTCTCATCATAAGTGACTTGTTTGCTTATATCCACAAGCTGAAAGCTGTCTTCATGTGATTTTTCAACCCATTCAGACATACCTTGATAAAAATGTTTTTTTATGCATGAGATAAGTGCTGCAGTGCTTTGTTCTTCCTGAGACAAATACTTGTCCAAAGAAAGTTGGGAAAAAAACACCGGAGGTGCACTTGATCCTTGTTCTGAATCTGAAGCAGTGAAGAAAGAGGCCAGTTTCTTAGCTGCATCCGTAAGAGACAGCAGTTCATTACTAAGCTTCTTATTTGCTGCAGTAAACACTTCCAGGCCTTCTTTCAAATCTTTATGTGCTTCCTCCTCTCTGCTTTTTAATGTTTGTAACATACGGCTGTTTGCAGAAACCATCATTTGAAGCTTGTTATGCCGATGAATTTGAAGTTCTTTTAACTTCTGAAGAGTTTGAAGTTCATCCTCTAATCTCTTCAGTTCCTCCTCATCTTCCTCCTCCTCTTGGCTACTGTTCTTTGAATCCGTGAGCTTCAATGTTTTAAGGACTTCATCCAGTGCATTTCCTTCCAAAATGGGCTTACCAGACTCAAGAAGACTATCAAAATCTTGCAGTTCGTTTTTAGATACCACATTCTGCACATTTACATTTCCACAAAACCACTCCAGAAACGATTTGTCCTCCGACAACTCAAACAGCCAGTCAAAATCTTCTCCATTAAGCTCATCAGCTTTTGGATATCCAATTTTCTTAAGAGTTTCCACAAAATCATTTCCACAGCTCATGATTAAAATATTTTTGTAAGCAGAAAAGATCCAAATACATGAAAAAATCTGGGCTATTATTCCAGTTGTATTTTTTTTGTCATTTTAAATGAATATTCAGTATTTTAATAACAAGAGTCTGCACAGGAAAAAGGAAGTATCAGATCACACCGCAAAACTGAATGCTATTCTGGATTAGAGTGGCTATTCAAAGACTAGAAACCACTTTTTATTTCAGGGATGTCTTAATGTGTTTTGTTCATAAAATCGGGACACATTTTTACATCAATTAAATCCCTGATCTCTGCAAACACTTATGTTTTTCCCTAATTCACATAAATTTACTATTAAAACAGAATACTACTATTAATTTAAAAGAAACAGGCGTAAATATTAACTCATTGACCTGCAAAAGTTATTTACTTATATAGCTTTCCTCATATGAAGTAAAAAACCCCACTCACAGTCATTTTAACTCTTCCAAAATGAAAGCTTTCAGCTTGTTCTAAAAACAAAACTACAGTGATGTTACACTGCACTTCAAGATCTTGCTTATAGAGATTTTTTTTTTTTACTTCAGCAGCAAGCAGAATCTTGTCTTCTAAACCTTCGAAGTTTACTCTGAAAATTGAACAAGAAATCCTTTAACACAAAAATATCTCCACATAATAATGCAGTTCTTTGACCAGTTATAAAAAATTTGAGTTGTTATCAGTGTAAATACTCTTGTGAAAATGGTCATAGCCTAGAAGTTACAAGAAAAAGGAGTTTGCTGTTTTGCTGTTACCCAGCAAACAAATCAGTAGCTTTGAAATCCTAAAAAGAGCAAAACAGACAGCTAAGAATAGCATGAATTATCAAAAAAGTCAGGAGACCTTGTCTGCAATATTCTGGTAATATCCAGGTGGGTTTTTTTAAATTGGTATTACTTAATACTTTGTTTCTAAAACATACATTCCACCAGTAAACTGCACTATGCCAGCCAGCCAGCAGGGCACGAGGGCTGAACAAGTAAATGCATCTTTCTGAAAGTCTGTGTGTATTTCATTTAGCTTAGAGTTACAGATTAAATAAGAAATAGAATTTGTTATGCAAGTTTCATGTCACAGGGCAGCCTTCCAACTGCCCTCTGCTTTCCATGGTAAAAAAGGGCCGTTGTCAAAATAAATAAATAAAAAAGAGTGCACGTAGCTTCACGTATGTGTACGCAGATCATTAAGGCGCGCTGACAATGTCGCTCAAGCCGTCTTCAAACACTAAAAATAGTATCTTCGGACCCCTGAGGAAGGTACCCACCATCCCCGGCCCCAGCACGGTGACGCCCGATCGCTAGAGCCACCTCAGCCCGCACGAGTGGGCCCCCCAAGGGCTTTCTCCCAACGCTGACGAGCCCAAACACCCACCTGGCCAGGTCCCAACTCTGGGGCAGCTGCCACCTACAAGCCTCAAGGGGAACTCAGCTAAGAGCTGACCCCACGCAGGACAGGGCGGGACAAGGAGACAGAGGGGACAGGGGACGCTGAGGTGACTGTCCCCCTCCCGGTACGAGCGAGCCCCGACCCCACATCACTCGATACTCACCACAGGACTCTGCTTCAGCGACTGCACGGAGAGGAGGGGAGAGGAGAGACCCAGAAAATGGCGGGAAGACTGAGGAAACGCGTCGGCAGCGTCCCCGCCCCAGGCAGTGAGAG